GCTGAGATGTTTTTGTAAGAAAAGAGAAATTAATTAGAAAAATTCACTTCATTTGTAGAGTCGTAATTTATGTTTTCATATTAAGTTTTTATTATAATTTTTTTTTATCAATTTAGAATTACAGTACTATTTTCAATTATTAATAAAAATTACGTGTTCATTTTAGATTAATCAATAAGAAAAATAAGCATTTTTGAAATATTAATAAACAAATACACATTAAACAACAAATAAATAAAAAAGCATTTAAAACACGTTGTCTGCCGAAGCAAATGTTGTGGTCGGGTCTGCTGAGCCGAAGTAGTTTTTCTAAAAATTTAAGTCTGTTTTTACGTTTTAAGTAGTTTAAGTAAATACTTAGGTAAACTACAATATCTAATAGATGCGCGAATAAAATACATACACGCGGCGCGGGATTAAATTATTACAAACATATGTGGCGTGCATATATTGTTAATAATATATTCAGGACATACACAGGGCCGCCGAGAGCCAGGCCGGGCCCCAGGACAATTCGCTATCGGGCCATGTGACAAAAAAATCTTTAACCAAAAACTGTTCCTCTTCTACTGAAACAGAATTTAAAAGGTCTTTACATCAAAAACTATTCTCCCTTTCAATTACTTCTTCTTCTAAACAAAAAAAAAGTCCTCACCCGAATAAAACTTCTCTAGGCTAAAACTTTTAATTAATTTAAACTTAACTTCCCTCTCTCATCTTGTGTCGAATTTCTCATGCAGAACAAAAAAAAAACTTTGCCGGGCCCCCTTACAGCGCTGCCGGGCCCCCATTTAAGCCCGGGCCCCGGGAATTAGTCCCGGCTACCCCCCTCTAGTCGGCCCTGGACATACATTAGTGCGTAATTGTTCAATATTTCAATTTGTGTTATGGACACGTAAATAATTTCTAAATAAAAAGTTATATGAATTTCAAAAATGGGTATTTTAAAGATATTTTTAGACATACAGTGTTTTGCGTTTTTGTCTGACAAATAAAAAGGTATATTTTTTAAATAAAAAACCCTGTATTTTACTTCAGTTTTAGAATGCTGCATGCAATGCTGTAATACTGCATTTAACCCTAGAACTTTATTAACAAATATTGCAGGGTTGCCAATAAATTAATTTTTTTATGAAATTAGAGAATGATGCAGACCCTAAATTAAATTATAATTTAATTTAAAAAAATAGTAATAAGATACTAAGCTAACGAATAGTGGTGATAGAACTGGATTATTTTATACAGAGTGTTTTGAAAAACAAGTCTTAAATATGGCTAATTCCAAGTTAAATTTATTTAATTTTTTCAAATGCCACACGCTGTATGTTATTTAAACATACAATTCCTTATAAATTTACATATCCAACGATACCAATATGATAGTCAATAACACATGAGTTTTATAATAGGAAATACGAAAAAAAAAATAATATAAAAGTTGTATGACCATATTTAACAATTATTCATAAATATGCAGTGTGCATTTTTAAAGCAAAACACCCTGCAGGTTGTTATATATATTTGATTGTTTTTACATCGTCGAACAATATTTTCAATTTGATTCATTTGATATGTTGTATATAGAATGTGTCAAAATTTGAGGTTACGATTTTCTCAATTTTTTAAATGTGATACTCTCTATGTTATACCACCAATTAATTAATACAGTGAATTCCATTGAAACAATTAAAAAAATCGTAACCTCGCGCTTTGATACACCCTACATATAACATAGCAAATGAATGAAAATTAAAATTATTTGACAACCTGAAAACAATCAAATATGTATAACTACCTGCAGGGTGTTATTCTCTAACATATTGGTATTGTTGAACAGGCAAATTTATAAGGAATTGTATGCTAAAATATGTTGCCTTTGACAAAATTAAGTAAATTAAACCTCAAAGTAGCCATATATAAGACAAGTTTCAAAACACTCGGTATAAAAGAATCCAGCACTATCAACACTATTTGTTATCTTAATGTGCTACAAGTCTGTATATTAAACAATTTTGAAATTAATGTAATCCTACCCAAATTATGATAATTTAATTTGGGGTCTGCATATCATTCTCTAATTTCATAAAAATTTAATTGCTTGGCAAACCTGTAATAGTTTTTTTAAACATTCTAGGCTTGAATACAGTATTACCAAATCATTCTAAAACTGAAATAAAATACATGTTGTTCTATTTAAAAAATATGCCAGGCAAAAATATAACAGCCTGTATATCCAAAAATATTTTTAAAATATGTATTTTCTAAATCCATATAACTTTTCTTTGAAACATGTTTGCGTGTCTTTAACACAATTTAAAATATTGAACAATTACGCACTAATGGGACATACACAAGGGTACATATACACATAGCAGTCAACGTGTTAACTCAGAAATAAAGTTCCTTATAAAGATAAAATAACATTCATTAGAAGAAAGCAAGTCCCGCAAATATTACGTGCGTACCATACAGTGATGCCAGGTCATTCGGATTCAAATTACATCTCAATGCAATAAAGTTTCTCTCCCGCATTTCACATTTCACCCACTTTAAAATTAAATTCGCCTGAGAAAAAATTGTGAAATTATCGTATAAATCGATATTTATTGTACATCTGGCAACGTGGCCAATACTTGTTCATACGCAAGGAACACAAATCGATAATTTTGTATCTGGAACGCAAAGCGAGACAAATATATATGAAAATCACGAAACAATAAAAGACGGCATACAGCTGTATCATTGTTTCAAAAATTGGTACCTCTAAACAATCATTTACCTATTAAAACCATCTCTAAAACAGAGTAGCTAGATTTTTTTTACGGTGACATCTTCTTAAAAATAGATGAACTACATGAACTATATACAATTACAGGAATTCATAGAAAATCTCTAATTTGACAAATAAATTTATCAAATATTTGTTAATCGTATTTCCAGTTAGATTTGAAAAATACGCAATAAAATTTAGAAATATTTTGGCGGGATACTTGGAAAAATATGTAGAATGAAATCTCCTACTTTTTAGCCTGTGGTTTTAAAATCACTTTTTATGATTTTTTTTTAAAATTCAGTGTATAAACAGGACAAATAAAAAATAGGAGATTTCATTCTCCAAACCTTATACTTTAAGCTGGTAGAAGATTCATTTTAATACATTTAGCGGGATTTAAATGCAATCGGAAATGGTGAACCCTTGCTTCTTATATGAAAAATACAGTGATACTGCGCCCTTAACTATCTCTGCAAATAGTTTATACAATGCCATCCTTCTTCCTTTCACACATGTACAAGGTTTAAAAGGTAGGTAAAAATATTAATAATTCAGGTTAAAAAGCTATATTCCCAATGAATTAGGTTTGTAATTTTCAGGGCAAACACAATTGTTGCTGTCATGTCTTATATGATTTTTTGAATATAAAATATTTTTTTTAGCCACTTTGCTCAGGATACGTACTGGCACAGGTGCAATTTGGTAAAGTACAATGTTGTTACATGCCTTTGGAGCATATTTCATTTTGTTATCAGATCACGGTCGAAAATTTGCAGTGAGCTCTCTTACTATATGTACTTAGTGACTAAACAATATATTTTATATTTTAAAAAACAAATACTGACTAGATAAGAAACTTCCAATGTAATACATGCAATAATTTGTTAACTTATTAAATAAAATATATTTTGGTTATTTTTCATTAATCATTCTAAAAGCACCCAGGGAATTTTGAGTTAAAACCTATGCCATATTTTTAGGCTATTTTAGGGCTATTTTTATACCCTATTCAAAAATTGTACGCTCCTCATTTCTTACAAAAATCAAGGTGTTGTTTCATTAGTTTTTTTTCTGAAAACAATTATACCTACTATAACTTTAGACTCTTAAAATATAGAATTTCTCGAAAAAATCTTTGTAATTGTAAAAAGGTCTTCAATTACAATTCCAAGAGACATGAAAGTGGGTTAATAGGAAACTATAAAGTATCATAAAGTTTGCAGAAATGAAAAAAGTTGTTAAAAATAGTAAGGGAATCAAAATTGGACCAAAAAAAAAATTCACAATTAACATACCTACCAGAAAAGAACTAAAATAAGAACAAATAATAATACCTATACCCAATTAAAATACAATTAAACATATGGTGACCATATATTTTTGAATTAAGAGCAAACTGGATACCTTGAAAGTTTATAATTCATTCTAAGCCTTTATTTTTAGTCCTAATTTTGTGAAATTTTCAGGAAATACCAATAATAACAAAACTTAGGGTGGAGAAACCTTGAATTTTTTCTAAACCTTCGAAAAGTATTTATTTTGAAAAAATTTTAAAATAATTAAAAAAAAAAAACATTTATGCGCCATTCTGTATTAAATCTATAAAAATTTGCTGCTTTTTGTTTTAATAAATACATAGCAGTTTTTAAATGAAATGCTTTCCCACCTTTTTTTCTTAAACATTTCTGTAGAGTGCTGCCTTATCATTGCACAAATTTAAAGCTCTCAGTATTGTCAAGATACATAATATCAGGAAGTATTCCCAATGGCAGGCATATAAATACAATTTTATATTAGAAAATCCTTAAAACATTTTTGCTTTCACAAGAGATCTGGTTTCCTCTTAATGCTTGATGTTAGACATGAATACAACATTGACCATGAACTTTGGTAAGATGATGACCTTTTTCAAGCCCCCAAAGATAAAAATACAGAAAAACCCTATTTCTATTATTTGTTACGTTTCAGTAAAATGATGTATTACTACTGGTCAATAATAGCATTTTAATGGACAAATATGGCAAATACTGGACAGATTTAAAAATGCTATATAATACAGCAAAATGCTGTACATTTAATAATGAAAATGTAGAAGCAGAAACTATTGAAAACAGTGGATAGAGGAAGACAGAATATAGAAGTGAAAGAATAATGAAAACGCATTGAGAAACTGTACAGAAACAAAGGCAACGCTTGGGATTAAAGTGAAATTAATTTTAATACATACCCATATAAACTGTAAGCTAAGAGACTATGAGTGTTAAGTACTTTTTCACCACTCAACCTTTGAGAGGCATAGTTTCCTGCTGTAGCAATGGCACAACTAAAAATAAATACATATAAATAAAATAGTACATATAGGAAAAATAAATAATACTCACCATGTAATAGCCTTAGTTCTTAAAGGGTGCTCAAATAATTGACCAAAATAAAAACTTAAAACATTTAGGACGGGTTTAGAAAGAGACATTTTCGATATATATTGCACAATTCCAGTTTAAAATATACTAAAATAACTTGTTATATCTATCTGTAAATAGAGGGTAAAGGTTAACAACTTTTGTGTGTCGTATTTTAATCACCGTTAAATTTTTATCAGATAATTATCAGATTACAGCAAGTTAACAAATATTATTGTTTTCATTCCCTAAATTTATATTAACTACAATCTCTTTATTTTAACTATTTTTCACACCTCTTTTAACAGTCAGTGTATGAAATTTCGGTACCGTTAATAACATACGTGTAACAAAAAATACAAGTTCATGTTGTAATTAACAGTTCATAGTCCATCAAAGATTAAAATCTCTTTTATTTGGTTACTATTTATAATAAACGACCGGTAAGTTGTAAAACAGTCGTCGTGGCTAAACTGTTTTAAATTGTAACCTTAATTATATTGTAATGACTTTAATTAATTCTACAATAAAACAGAAATAGAAAGTGGATTTTGATTTTCGTCGGTTTTTTTGTTTGACGTTTATTTGTTGATGTTGTGACTTGTGACGGTTGACATTATTCACGCATTAGATTAAAGGCCAAGGATAGCCTAAAATCTGCTTCTGAATTGTTGTTATACCAAATGTCAATTTGTGACGTAACTACAGGACCTCGCATACATTTAAATCGTATCTATCAAAGAAGTCCACTTCATTGGTATCTATAATAATACAAACGATTTGCTAATTTGTGACGTACGTATGATTCTCTATCCAAGGAGACTCTACATTATTCCACACAACACTCACAACATAGATCACAACACTGAATACATTTTAAGTGTAATACTGGTTGTATAACCAGCAGTAGCATAGTTTAAAAAGCACCATGAAATTTTAGTCAACAAATACTTTTAAAAGTAATACTGGTTGTATAATCAGTAGTTATAATTTAAAATTAGTTGTATATCACCAGTAATACAATCGACTACTATTCAAGTTGACAAATACTAAGTAATCCTCTTTCGTATCCTTATCCTGTGAAAAATAGTATATTATGCAACGATCATGTAATGATGGTTATTAATACACGAGCATTAACCGGGATACGAAACGAGCCAAAGGCGAGTTTCGTATGGTCTATGCGAGTGTTTTAATAACCATTACATGAGAGTTGCATACGCTATTTTTTCTACACCCGATAAATAATCAAGACCTATAAATATTATATTTATATTGGTATTGAACACAATAACAGTAATTACTCGTATTTCTATAAAAAATTCTACAAAATTGTAATTAATGGTATTACTTCGGGTATTGGTATTTCCCTAGATTTTTGCTGCAAAATATTTTGTACTGTATTTTCTGCTTTCTCCGATATGTGTGGAAGAGTCTTCTATATCGCTGATATGAGACATTTTAATATTATAATTATCGAAGTTTAGCTATCTACGAAAATTTAATACGTTTTGACAACTAAAACAATTACATAGAAACCTAGGACAAACGTCAAACAGTATGCTTGATTGAAAAATAGTAGGTTTCTATTGATTAAAAATCTGTATCGTAATGAAAAATCTGTATCATAATGGGTATCATTATGAAACGGATTATGGGCATATAAGTGCATTATTATAATACGGGTGTAGAAAAAATGATTTATGAAAATGGCTAGGTGGTTAGAGGAAGTGAGCAAGGCTACAGGCTTAGTGGTTTGAAGGAGGCGTCAGCGGTTTAGTTTGATAGAGAAGGCCGAGGATTTTTGTATTTAAACATGAAATAATCCTAATAATGCCTATTTTTAATCTCCAATTTATTAATTTAAATTATAATTGGTAACGGGAGCAGGGAAAAGTAACCAAGTTTATACAAAAATAATTAGAAAAAGTAAATAAACTGAAAATTATACGTCATATACTATGTAGGTACTGTAATATAGAATCTTATTACAATAATAACACCACTACACCATAATCAGTGCTTAAAGTTTTAGACACATAACATCTATAACTAGAATAAGTAAATAAATAAATAATAAGCAAGTGATTGGGTATAAAGAAATATTTCTTATATCTCTAAAATATTAACTAGCCACTAAACCCCCGGTAGGCGGCGATGGCCAATAAATTACTTGGTCAAATGATGACGTAGTAATTGGACCCTACTATATCTTTATTGAAAGTTTCATCTATTCAGTATCGTGTATTTAAAATACTAGACCACATACTTTTTCTTTTATTTACTATACGGAGAATGGTCGCCCTGCGCAGCGTTCTGAGTGCCTTTTAAAAGGAGATAGAAAACTCCGCCATTTTGAACCCTTATTACGTGTTGCCTACATCTTGGCGCAATATTTTTAATAGGTGCGTTTTAATCATTCGCTTCTGCTTCGGAATTGTCGGTTTTCTTGTTTTAATCTGACAGGTTAAAACGACTAAACCGACAATTCCGGAAGCAGAAGCAGATTATTAAAACGCACCTGATATTTTGCTTGCTGCTGTCAGTGTCAGTGAATATTATTTTTGGAGTAACAGTTTATTGCTAAAGAATCAGTTAGCTCACTCGGACCAGTTGAAAGTTCCAAAATAACATCCACTCCAGGGATACAAATTCAGGATACGCAGAAGACTGCTGTTTTATTACAGGCGGTTGTCATATATTGTATTATCCGAGTTGCGCAGTGTATAAACTGGAACATTGAGATCAAAAGTGCCGACGCAGAGTGAGCGATCTGATAAACTGTGGCATAGGAATCAAAATGGCCGCGTCCTATGTTGGGCGCCTCGGACCTCTCTCTTGCACCGTATAGTAATCAAAGTATCTAGACCACATACTGTTAATGTAATGTTAATAAAATCAATAATATGTTATCACTGAAAGTTTATATATCAAATACAAAAATAGAATTGGCTTACACTTATAAACTAGTAATAATGTTGTTTTGAACCTTATTTTCTATTCTAAATCAGCACAAAATAATTAAACCCACCTTCTTGAAATTTTAATAAATTTAACAAATAATATAAACACACTACAATAAGTCATTGAAATTAAAATAATATTATTTTCTATTTGTCGATAAAAGAATGAAGTTAATCATATGCAACTAACAATACAAGAAAGTAGTAATATTGGTTGCCTAGATATCAGAAATTATTTACCAGAATACGATTTTATAAATAATTTAGTCAAAATTAGAATAAATATTGTATGTAATACGTTAAGAAATACAGTGAAACAAGTCATTTCGCAACTATTATTATTCTGTTGTTTTATAAAACTACCATAAAAGTTTATGAGCAGAGCGATTTTAGTAGAGAGTCCTGCAGAAATAATACAATAGTCCTAAGGATGTTTTTACAATATGTTAATAGAATTTAAAAAAAAATGAAAATAAAGAATAATATGTATAATAATGTCCCTACACGTATTCGCTCCGTGCGAAGTCATGGAAAGGGAAGCAAAAGCGATACTAGCGCTAGCTGCGGATAATTCGTGCATTTTAGGGGGATATTTTGTAATTTTGGCATATCAAATACACGTATACATTTTACTTTTTTTCAAAAAAGTAGGTAAAAACAACACAATAAGCAACCGGAGTTGCTGTGTTGAAAATTGTACAAATACTAGCAAAAAAAAACAGTGAAACTTATATAACAAATTTCACTAACAAAGTGGAAATTAAATCAAAGAAATAAATGGATAGGTGTACAATAAGAAGAAAAATTACCTTTATTTTTGTGATAATAAAAGTAATGCTGGAAAGAGTAGACATCAGAAACTAGAAAGTTTTTAAATAAACAATAAATTATCATTTTACGATGTTCTTTAATATCCCTTTATTCTTAAATGTTCATTCAGCAAGGACTAGATTTCAAGATTTCTGCCGTTGATTATAATATTTGGCTGGTATGCAATTTTGTGACTTACTGATCGGAAACCAGTTTTAATCATTCATTCTATGTTTGCTTTAGAACAAAAATGAAAATATAAGTAGCGATCCTTTTTATACATTTTAACTTCACGCTATTATAAATGGTTTCTTCAATGACAACTTATTAGACTTAGGCAACTTCTCATACATTTTCCAGTAAATACTGTTGCCTGCCTATATTTTATTATTGATTTTTAATGATTATACATAATTTTCTTCAATTTAAGCGTGCAAAATATATAATAATAATAAATTAATGTTTTAATTGTTTTATAAATCCATATACTTTTATTAAAACTAACATATATACTTTTTATTTACGAATTCTATTAAAAATTGTATTTGTCAGTATAGGCAGAAATACTCCTTTAATACCAAAACAAATTGGCGCTGCTGTCGCGCACGGAGCGAATAGGCTAATGCAAAAACTACCAAATCTTTGTTGTAGGTACTTCTAAAGAATGTACTATGAATGTGCGTTAAAGAATGTATGAAATCCGGTCATAAAATGCATGTACAAAGAATATATTCTAAAGACATATCGTCAGTGTAAAAATCGCTAAGTACGTAACTCCATTTTGGAAAATTTTACAGGAGAGCTAAAAACTAATTTAACTTAGAATCCTTGAACTTATGTAAACGGAATTTGTTTAATGATAATTTATATAATGTGAATGAATAATAAAATAAGCATTTCTCATATGGTAAATCTGCCATTTTGGTACTAAATGCAGTTATAATCCGCATTTCAGAAAAATTTGGAGTGCGATTTACACTGACGATATTTTTTATTACAATTTCTTAAAACATTCTAGGAATATTCTTAAAAAAAAAAAAGTTCGCGGCCGTACTTAAATAGAATTTACTGAATTATCTTAGCGCCTGACCTGTGTAGAATCAAATACCTACCGAAGTTTTTAAATTATTGTTGATTTTATTAAATCAGAAAAGCGTGTAGAAATATGTAATCTGATGATAGTTTTTTGATATTCAGGTGGACTGACTGAAGACATGTCTTTTGTGATAGCCGCCTGTAGGTATATGTATCTTTTCCATAGAGGAAACCATAGTCGTACCTTAACTATTTTTATTTATATTGTGTATGGGATATTTATAATTTTTTTAAAATCCGACAAGGGCAGCTCCAGAAGGGGGGGCTACATAGGGGCCTATTTGGAAATTTCCAAAGAATTTATATACTGGGTTTTGGTATCAATAAATCGAACGTTTTTTTGGAACTTTAAACCGATTTTAAATGTTTGTTTTTATATTTTTAGTCAGAATTTGTTTCGAAATATTTATCTCTGAAACTCCCCCCCCCCCCCTCCTAAAATCCCTAAACAAAAATATTTTAACATTGCAATGTGGTTAATTAGTAATCGCATATAAAAAAAAAACAAAGTTGTAGTTTTAAACATAATTATGTAGGTAAATAATCGTTAAATAAACATTAAGTAATCAATAAATAAAATTAGAGAATTAATACCAATTTAAATTTTATTTATAATTTTTCAAGATTGTATTCATCCCATTTTCAAAAAATAACGATTTAAGATATTCATTATGTCTACATTACTGAATTGTGCGATAATTTTTTAAAACTTTGTTTCAGGTAGG